CAGCGCCTCGACGGTGGTGGTTTTCATGGGTTCCACCGGCGCCTCGACGGTGGTGATTTTCTTGGGTTCTACCACCTCAGGCGCCGCAGCGGCGGCGGCTGCAAGCGGTGTTGGTTCTACCGATTTCCCTGCCTCAACTTTTGCTTCTTTTTTGGGCTCTGTTGGAACTGGAACTTCTACTTCTTTTTTACCCACAACTGCTTCTTTTTTCGCTTCACTCTAAAAAACAATATTAAATAGTTTTCATATAACTTTTTTAATCGGAGTAAAATTTCACATTATAATATTATCAAGAGACTAATATATTTCATTAATTAAAAGACTATCAAGTCACCAACCAACCGAACATAATTTAAAAGTGGTTAAGACACGTAGCTCTAACCAATAGATTATGAGTTCGAACTCTCACAACCACATGTTATATTAAAAAAAAAAACGACTAATAGAACTAAAAGAAATCTAAATTATTTTAAATTTTCCTATAAAATTTTTAATATAAGACGAATTAAGAGGTAATTACCCCCTCCCTTTTTTTGCCGTGGGATTTCTTTTTCAAAATTATAATTTAGGAAAAAGTGAATGCTCATCGTTAATGTTTATTATTATGTAAATCCATGATTATAGTAAAAATGATGTATATTAGGGTATTGAGAAAATAAATACCTCAACGAGCAAAGATCCAAGAGAATGCAGTTGGTTGCCCTCCTCAACTTTCTTCTCACCCTCATCAACCTTCTTCTCATCAACTTCATCGTCGCTCTTCTTTTCTTTATTTACGACGACCTCGACATCTTTCTCCACGATGGAAACTTCTGCCATTGTCGTCGTTGTCTTCAGCGATTCAACCTCAACCTCAACGAGAGTGGGTGCGGGCACTGGGACAGCCACTCCATCGCTGGTCTTCGGCTTGCTGGCGCAACCACCCATTTTAATAAATAGGTGTCACAAAAGAGAGAGGTCGACGAAGAAGAAGACGTTATCGAGAAAGAAGACAGATGACTTCTTTCTCTTCTTATTATGGGAGATCAGCGAGAGGTCGAAGAAGAGAAAGAAGCGAGGAAGATAAAAGCTGAGGATGATGGAATGAGGAGGGATGAGATGAGGTATTTATACAGGCCAAGACCAAGATGAAGCAAAATTTGGTGGCTAAGCAAGATTTTAGGCAAGGGTTGTTGTGGATGAACTGTGATTCCATTGAATGAGAAATTAAGCCTCTTTTTGGCCATCCAATTGAATTCAACAGATTCAACTTTTCTCTAGCTGGCTCTGTCCAAATACTATTTTTTGGTGTTTTTTTTTTCTGTAATTTGAAGTGGGTTTTGATTATTTAAAAAAAAAAGGTTTGGATTTAGAATAATTTTAAATCTAAGGTTAATCGACTTTTTTTATAAAATGATTGATCTTGGGTAACTGCTTACAAATATACTCATGTGTAACGGTTTTTAAGTTAATCCTTTTCTTAAAATGACAATATTTAAATGGAATTGTTATTGTAGATGAGATATATAATCAAAATTTCGAACTCTCAACCTCATGGCGTTGGATACATATGACTTAACCCGTTAAGTTATGTTCTCATTGACATAGGTGGGTATTACTAAATATATAATTAATAGCTATATGCATTGAACTCATGAGGTGACAAATCAATCATATTATAATCTCCCCTTCAAGTTAATCATGTTATAATCTCTTTGACAAATGTCGTAATGAGAGTGCACTTAAGCTTTCGATATTTTTGCCGTAGAAAATAGAGCATGATCAGTACTAGTTCTTTTTTGGTACACTTATTGTACTGGTGATTGTATACTAATTCATACGTTAGTGGATCACGTGCACTGACTAGAAACAATTCAAATTACTTAGGATAATTATATAAAAATTTCATAGATTTATGATAAGAGTGTATTCAAATTGTTCAATAAAAAAATTTGCGCTATTAGTTTCATTAGGTAAATCATTAGCCTGGAAGATTTTTTTTTTTTGAATTCCTAATTTTATGATTGACTTGAGTATATGTATACATTATTTTTTATCATCTCCACAAACATTGCTATATCATAGATCTACAACATTATAACTATTAATTTGTCCTATGAAGCATGAACCAATCAAATAAAAGACACAATTTCAACTAATAAACCTTTTTTTTTTTTTTTTTTGTCAAAGCAAGCAGTTAACAACCAACTGTCCAAACTTGGCTAAAAAATAGTCAACAGAATAAGAGAAATAACTAAAACCTATAGAAATAGTCTCTACAATAATTTAATCAAAATTCATAGTTAATCATGATAATTAAATGAGGGATATTATTAATTTTGCCATTTATTCGAGTTTATAGTTAAGTTAAGCGAACCTAAAAATTAAAAATTTTAATTAACTCAACAAATTAAGTATCGGGTATAAAGTGAACATTTTTTTAATATACATCTATTTTTTTAGTACAACAAGTAGGGGTGAGAGAATTCAAACTCATGATTTCTTTGTTAGAGATATGTGCCAACTAAACCTATGTTGATTTATTATTTTTATCTCTCTTTCAATTTTATAAATTTATTTTGATTTTATCTCTCGACACCTCTTGCTCTCTCACAATTAATTTTTACTATACATGTATTTAAATCAGATTAAGTGTTATCTGCATCTTTTTATTCGTATACTATTTCTAACATTTACTTAGAAAATTTACTTGTATTATTCATATACAAGTACAATATTATATGATATACAAATAAAAGTTATAAAAAGCAAAACAATAGGAGTGTCAGACATCTATTACGAGGTTGATAGTTCAATTTTTCATCTCGCGATTATTGAATTCAAAAAATGAGAAAAATGAGAATAGTTAACCATTTATAATTTGTTTTGATCAGTTTTAATATATAATTAATTGTATGATTTTGTTAACTTTTTTGACATACAGTAATTTTGAAATTAATTTAAACACATAAAAATCCAATTGTAAAGTACTAGAGTGAAGATAAATAATTCCTTTACTATATCTGATACAGGGCTTTTGTCGGGTACCCGACCCGACCCAAAAAATTGGACCGGATCCGAATGCATCCGGCCCGATAAGCTTTTGGTCTAATGAACCGGAAAGCTGAAGATTTATCATATTGCAATTTCCCAACTTCGAACTAAACCTAATCAGAGTTTCTAGTTTCCTCCCAGATTCGTGTTTCAGCTCAAAGGTATGAGCTTTTTTGGAAGAAAGACATCTCAATTTCAAAATTTATCTGTTTTTAAGCTTTAGACGATTCTTGTCCCCAGTTTCTCTCTTTTTTTTTTGTTTCGATTTTTATCATCAGATCCGTGTTTAATTTCTCCTGGATTCGTCGATCGTCTGTTTTGGCTTTCTGGGTGTTTTCGGTTTCGATTTTCTATTGCGTTTGTTTGCTCCGAAGTTTTCTAAGAGATCGATGGAGGATTTATTTATTTATGATTATTTATATTGTGTCGTTCGTTCTATCGAACAGCAGTTGAATTTGAGGGCAAAACATTGTATGACTAGATGATCTGAGTCCTGGTTTCTGATAAGTATTCATTCAAGTCTCGAATTTTGAACTGGAGTTTCCGTTTTCCTTAATATGGAATCAAGTTTAACGGGTACAAGTCATTGGACTGAAATCAATTGCTTTTCCTTCAGTGTAAACCGAGACTCTCTGATAGTGCCTTTGTTTCTGAATGCATAACAACTGAACCTAAAATCTAATATTTACATAGCCAATGATACCCTTAAATGCTCGAGTTAAGCCTGAGGATTAATTTCAATACTTTATATATATCTCGTGTCTGCATCTCTGCAAAACAATGCCTGAGATGAAAACAAGGACTGGATTTTCAGAATGAAAGTTCATGGATTTTGGTTCCAGCAATTATGCTTACAATATTCTTCTTTTTCGTTTTCTGTTATTGATGCATATTTTTAGGAATAATTCGAATTTTAACATTTTCCAGGTTTTCTAGCCTGTTGTTTTGCTCCAAGTTGGTACTCTCTAATAGCCATGTGAGTATTTTTTTTATTTGTTTCAGCTTCACCATTTATTACACATGATCTTTTTTTACCATTTTAATTCTTACTTGATGAGTATTTTGATTGTCTGCTACGTTAGAGTTGTAACCATGTAGTCAAGCTCTACTTTATTGAAGTTTATAAATTTCCAAAAGCCACTATTTCTTCCCTTAAAAGTAGCTCATAGTGGCAGGAAGTGTTGTTAGGATGTGGTGGAGCACATACTCTGAAAGATGTTTCTCTAATCTTTATTTGAACAATCACAGAAAGTATCATCTCCCTCTTGTTGAAATTGAAATCATGTAATATAGAATTGCTGTGCATTTTGCACATTTTAGGAGTAGTTTGATTTAGGTTGCTGAAGTTTCAGTTTCAATCTAAATCAGACTGTTAGCATATGTAGCATTTTGCAAGCTTAGTGATATGGTCCACATTTGGAGATTTGTACAGTTTATGAATCAGCAGGATGATAATTATTTTCTACTTTATAAATACAAATGGTTTATATATGTTAGAATGGAAATTGAGATACTTCATATTGTTGGAAGCAACTTGAAAATTTGCATTTCTTCTTCCTACTCTGTTTCTTTATATGTATCTAATGTTAACTTATCTACGTTAACATATCTAATGTTTCCTTGGTAAATACTTAGGGCTGATGAGGAACCTGTTGATCAGAAAAGGTATCTCGAAGAAGCTTGCAAGCCCAAGTGTGTGAAACCACTACTTGAATATCAGGTACAGGGTATTTTACTGGTCTTTACCATGGGGGATTAGCGATAGTTTAGTGAATTTGGATGTCTTTTTTTGTTTAGTTGTTGAACTTGTATTCATTATTCATTATTTCTTATGACCACTTAACTTTAAGAAGCTGGTTTCGTGAATAGCTATACTTCTAGTTCTCTCATTTAATTAGAAATTAAACCACTTCTAGTTTGAAGATTTTGCATCCCTCATGTAGAGTATAACCATTTATAAATGTTAAATGTTCTAATTTCTGCTGAGCCTTGCTTGTGATGCAACTATTAGTATTTAGTGAATTGTCGCTTCAATAGAAAGCCAAACTTTAAACGAGTGGCACCGTTGGTAGAAAATTAGTTAAAAACGAGTGAGAGTGTTTGGTGTTGGGAAGGATAATTGGATTTGGTGGTGGGCTGGTTCTTTTTGTTGAGAAGGAAAAAAATAAAATAAAAGCAGCCACCAACCATTAAGGTTTATGGGCGTATTTGGAGAATATCATAATCCTACTTTTAAAGGTCACTGACACTCGTGGGGGAACATAAATATGTTGTCCTCGTGAGATTATGGTGAAAGATCCTCGGTTGTCATGCTAATCTCTTCGGTCATGGAGGTAATGATGGCCCTTGACAAATTGTCTTCTACGATACATAGGTCCTTGAGCTGTAAATTCAAATCAACATTGAGCACACAACTGAAGATGTCTTTTCTCCAGAATTTGATACATCTTATGACTCATTGATTTTGGTTGATATCTGCTCTGAGGTCCACGTTGACTCAGCCACTATCTGTCTTTTGATTGTGGCATTGATGAATCTCAAAATTCGTTGAACTTCTCTTTTTCCGTGAATACTAGTCCTCACCAAATTCGAAGAACTTATGCGTAGAGGTGCATGTGATTGTTTTCCGAAAGTCAAAAAATTTATCAAATCTCTTGCTTGTTTCTATGGGTTTCAGCTGAACTCTCTTCCCTGTTGACATTTAAGAACGAGGAGGATCTTAATATTTTTGCTTTGCTTATCATGTCTGAGCAGCAAGCTTATGTTATTCATGGATTCAAATTGTATTATAAGTATGAAGATAAGGTACAGTTATGGTTATTTTCTTTCATGTTATAGGCGTGCGTGAAGAGAATCCAAGGGGATGACAGTGGTCACAAGCATTGCACTGGACAGTATTTCGATTACTGGTTTTGCATCGACAAATGTGTAAGTATTTTTTGGGTTTCACAAAGAAGTTTTCAACGTAGAATGAAAAGTGAACTAGTTACCAAACGAGCTCGGACTAACTTCGTAGACACTTTTTCTTGCAGGTTGCACCAAAACTATTTTCGAAATTACAGTAATGGAGAGTTGTTAGGCATGTGGGGGGTCCTATCCTTTTGCGTGCAGCATTTTTATGATTATTTTTTATGCAATGCCGTTTTGTGGACTTGATTTTTGCATCTACAAAAAAATGCCAATGGCTGTGCAATTTTATAAAACTTTTGAAGACCTTTAACCATGGTCAATAAGAAAGGATGTTGGATTCACTTTTATGAATGATCTAGTAGTTTCAGAGAAGAAATGTTGAGCTTCATGATCACATATTGAATTTGCTATTACTCGGTTTATCGAATGATGTTACGAACCCGAAGAAGATAAAGTATAAGGTATCTATTTGGTTCAATGTTGCTTTCGTCGTATTTGAACTTCATTGTTAGTCAACACAGGTTGCTGGAGACTGGTTGTAGAGGAAGAGATTTGCTTCCTTTGTCAAACTCCAGATAGGAAACCACTATTTTTCAAAAATCCAATTTATAAAAGGTATAAAAAAAATAGTGCTAAGAGAGGGCTCAAGTATGAAGGCATATATGGAAAAAAAATTATGGGGGCATATTTGTAATTGTAGCCCCATCATTGCAGAGCATACTTTGCTCCATCATTTTCTTCTCTCTTGGTTAAAATTTAATATTAATTTGTTTTCTTATATACATTTTTGAATTAATTAATAGAATAAATCATTGAAATTACAAAACATAAAAGAATTTATTATTGAAAACATAAATTGAGGTGGTCTAAATATAGTAGCTGTATTTGTTACGCTTCGTACAAGTTTGTAAAATTAAAAGGTAGGAAAAAATACAATATTGGAGATGTGGAAATTTTATTTAGAGAGAAGGAATAATACATTAATATATAGGTTGTTATTAGGAAATATAATATTATTTAAGCTTCTATTATTTTATTATTAAGACCCAAAATTCTTGGGATTATTTTTTACAATTTGCCCGGCACTGAGGGAAGAAGTGAGGTGCCTTGACTGTTGAGCTAAACTCGGCTTCTATCATATTTTGCGTCATGCTTTTGTCAAATTTGCCTACATTTTCAAAATTTTAATTTCACATCTTAGTATTATAATTTATTTACTCTAGTGACCATTATCATTAATGCATGTTCAAAAAAATTGTAACCACAGTAACAACAGTAATGTGTATTAACAATCATACATTACATTGATATCAATGTCATTTTAATTTTTTTTGTCATATTTAACATTATTTATTAGTGATATTAATCATTGAAATTAGTATATAAACTAAGTTAAGTAACCAATACCAAAATTAAAACTTTAACCAATATGGAGATGAAATTGATACAAAACACACCAAACAGCTTTTGGAACCCGTCCTTATTGTAATCCAATGCTTCCCCTTTCTTTATGAAATCTTTCTAAACAATAATCCTGTATCGGTGTAGTGTTTGGCCACGTACCTTTTGAAGTTTAAATTATAATTTTCCGAGTTGAGTATTGAGCTGAGCTTGACGTATGAGTAATTGGGCTTCCGCCTTGTGTTCAGAGTGTTAGAACCTTAGCTTGGACAAGGGACACTTGATTTTAACCCATGACAACTACTAGTAGGAAAAACACGACAAAGAAAAGAAAATGAAAAAGTTGATCTTTCCCATATCATATTCCCCACATTCAATTGATGTCAATATAACATCAAACAACGTAGGTGTTTATTCCTTGATTCGTTGAATTATTCTTACAAAACTCTTATCAGAAAATGAAATAAAAAACTACAAATATAAACACAGATGATCTTTTGATCAAGCAGAAAAAAAAAAAGGAAAATAATCTCAAATGGTTTAACCTGCAGCCATTTCAGAAACAACTGATCATCTAGTTCCAAAAACCAAACCTTTAGTCCACAACGAACCCCATTTCCTTCTTCTTTTCTCCGCCGCCGTCCTGATGCTGGCCGTCTTTGTTAATGAGCGACGAAATGGCGGCTGCGACCGCGACTCGAAACTTGGGGTCGGAAGCAATGGCGGAGACGCTCTCTGGCGTCAACGGGGGCTTGTGATCTTCGGACGGTTTCAAAAGATCATGAGGCTGAAAATGATTGTTGGTGTGGTAATAAGAATGAGAGGGGTTGATCCAATTATTGGAGGGTGAGGGGTAGAGATTAGGGTTTGTAGAATATGAAGAGGAATTCAAGATATTAATATTAGGGTTTGGAAGAGAGTTTAAGAACATGAAGGAAGAAGAAGAGGAAGGTGGTGCTGAGGCTATGGAAGCCATGGCTGTGGCTCCAACAGGGAGTGGATGGTTGTGTGTTCCTTCGTACGTTGTTATCAGAATCGACATGTCTTCCAAACATCTTTGTACCTAAATTATATATATAGATCATTAAAACATTGTAGTAACACATTTTAACAACTTCATAAGATCATATATGTTTCAAATACTATTTTGGTACAGTTTCCAATTTAGTGAAAATTTTTTAGTGAAATAAACGAGATGAAAATGAAAATAAAGGAATAAAAACTATCTCATTTTTAGAAGTACATGGATCAAAATTAATCTTTCGAAAAGTACCAAAATGAATTAAAAGGCAAAATTAGAGGATTAGATTAGTATTTAAGCCTAATATTATCGCTGACTAGGTGCCAACTACTATCAGTTGGTGTAGAGTTCTTTTGGAAACCCGTTTATGCACAAAAAATGAAGTTGGTATTACTTAATTATGAGGAATGAGTTAATTGACTACATTGGCAAAAAAAACAGAAAGAAAAAAGAAAAAAATTTGACCGATAAAGATTTAAGTTCGACGTTTGTCAGGTATATGTGTATATATATATGTTCTTGAAACATAAACAATAACAGTTTCCTTAACCTTTTCAAAAAAAAAAAAAAAAGAACAGTTTTCTTAAAAGAATATTTTAGGGAAAATTAACCTATTTTAAGAACCTAGCTAATATGATTGATTCTGTTTTTAGTTGTATTTTTTTTTTAAATTACGTTGCTACTAACAATTGCTTCATTTTATAATTTTTATTAGAAAAAAAAAACATCAGTCAAATGTTAAGAGATGAGAATATATATTGTTTTAATATTTTTATTTTTGAAATATATCCCAATTTCAAAAGTGGTTTATAAAGAGTAAAGTAAAAGAAAATAATAATCGAATAGTAATTAAATAAGCTAACATTTTAAACCTATTTTGAATTTTGAATTTGGTTATTATTATTATAATTATTTTTAAAGAATCAACTATAAATCCAACGTACTTATATTTTTAAAATTATTATAGTATTTAATTATTTGTAATTCTGTGGTATATAAAAAATAAAAAAGATACCTGCTTTCTAACTGGGCATCCTGGTGCAACTGTGCAACGATAATAGGCTCGAGGGCATGGATTCCCTTTAGCAATTTTCTGACCATATTTCCTCCATTGGCAACCATCATTCATCTACAACATTACAATAATCCCACCGTCATCGAAAAAATTGTTAAATTAATACCGATCAATCCAAAAGCTTAAAAAATTGATGGGATTACGGTAAATTTAAATGATATTACTACAGAGGTTCCAACGTATAGAACTTCATGCTTTGATACTATGTTAAATCACCAATACACGGAAAAGTTTAGGTTGAAGGGTGTTATGGTAAATTTAAATGACATTACAAAGGTTCAAACAACTTTCTGCTTCTGATACTATGTTAAATTACCCATAAACCATCCAAAAGTTTAAAGTTAATGAGTTACGGTAAATAATTTAGATGACATTAGATCGAATACATAGGAACCTCATGTTTTGATACCTATGTTAAACAACCAATCAATCCAAAAACTTGAAGCTAATGGTTGGAAAAAATCTAATATGACATTACAAGGGTTCGAACAACCTCTTCATCTGATGCATGTTAAATCACCAATCAATCATAAAATCTTAAACTGATCGCGGTTATGGCAATTCAAGTGACATTACAGGAGTTTGAACAACAACCTCTAAGCTGATACCAAAATCAACCTAAAAACTTAAGGCGATGGATCACGGGCACGACACAGTAGGCGAAATGGATATATGTGTTAATTGAACAACTTACAGTGGCAGCTTCACATCTTGCTCGCACAGAAACCCTAGCTTTTCTGTTATGTGGGGGTGCAATTCCTTGCAACTCAGGCCTTTGAGGCTTGTTTTGGACTGAGTTGAAGTTGGGTACTCTTAAATCTTCCTGCTTCTTCTTGTCTCTCTCTTCTCCCTCCCTTTGGTCATCTTGTTGCTCTAAATCAGCTGTGCTACTGTTTGTGTGAAGTCCTAATGATAACCCTAGTTCGCTCTCTCTCATTCCGTCGTCTTTCGATGGCGACCGAATTACTCGTCTCTTCTTCGCCATCTCTCTAAGTTCAAGGTCTGTTTTCGGTACATCATGGCTTTTGTTGAATGGTAGAAAGCTACGAGAGTCCTTCATCAAAGAGACAGAGAAAACAAAAATGATCATCATACATTAGTAATTGATGAGCTAAGTTACTTAATGCGATCGTTATCTCTTAGATGTATGAAAAAAAGTGTTGAAGATACTAATTAGTTAGTTGATTATGGTATTAGATGATTTAGCTCATACTTCTTTATTCATTTAAAAATTTCACTACACCCAACAGATTTAAAAAGGTCAGCTTTTGATTAAATTTTGTGTTTAATTACTTTTCTGGTTTTTAAAATTACCCATGTTTACTAACAATTTCTTTATTTAATTCTTGCTTTTTAAAAAAAAGCTTTTATAATATTGGCAAAATGTAAAAACCAATACTTTTTAATCCCCCAACAAAAGAAAAAGAAAATGATGAATAAACCATCATAATTTCAAAGCCTAAACTATTAGAATAGGACAAGGTTAATCTACTAATCTTTAAACACACATAGGACCAATGAAAAATGGGTTGAAAATTTATTAGACAGAGTCTTCATATATATATATATATAAATGCCAATATTATATATTGATGAAAAGCAAAAGTGAAAGAAAAAAAATTATTAGGGTGGTACCTTTTTGTGGAGGTTGTTTTGTTGGATGACAGCAATTTTCATTTCAAGATCATAGTAATCTTTCATTGTTTGTTCAACTGCTTTTCTCAGAAGCTTATTTTCTTCCTTCATGCGATTCATCTCCGTCTGCAACTCTGAAATCTAACAAAAAAACAAACACCATATTCATACACTATTAGATTATCATAAATATAATGATCGTAAAACGAAGCAGAGCGAAGAAGGGAGGAGAGGGACAACGCATGTTACTAGATCAGAAAATTATATAAAAAGGTTGGGATTATTTAAAGTTTCTCTTTAATTTACCTCCTCGATCACACCAATTCAATAAACATTTTATTTTTGGTCGTATGTTGCTAAAAATTAAGCTTATAAACACTATTTCTACTACCAGATTATGAAAAGTAAAAGTAGCGAAAGAAAGGTGAAAAACAATACGCCCTCACGTAAGAATGTTTTTTTTTCCTTTTTTAATTTCTTGAAATCGATGAACTAGGACTCGTTACCTAAGGTGAGCAACACTGTGATTCGGTTAGGACTTAAACATAAAACCTCATAGTAGGTGATACCACAAAGTTTCCATATCCTTACCACTGCACCGTCTCTCCTTTTGTAAGAAAGTTAACAAAATTTTTATAAACAAGCCAAATCGGGTCTAAATTTACAGACAATTAGAGAAATGTAAGAGGGTTTTTTTTTCTTTTCCCTTTGTGGTACCTCTCCTCCATTAATGTTGTGTGGCAAGAAAACTTTCAAACTAGAGGCAGCAAGATCAGGGTGATGATCAGCTTCAACAACAGCTTCTTCCACCATTTTTTCCATTATTTCTTGATCATAAGCTTCTTCTTCTTCTTCTTCTTCTTCTTCTTCTTCTTCTTCTTCTTCTTCTTCATCTTTTTGCTGAGTTTTTTCTTTCCAATACTCTCCTTTGTGATGATCTATTTTCAGTGACAGATCAATCTCCATGATTTCTCTCTCTCTCTACTGTTCAACTCGAAGAAGACAAAGTTTCTCTCTCTCTTGTTTGGTTATTAATACAAGTTTTGAGGCACCGAAGTCAATTCTCTCGTCTCAATGAAAAAATAATAATAATAATGATATTAGTCATTAGACACACAAGGCCGCATCTCGGCTTTGACTTTAATGGGGTCCCCTTAATAATTAATTAACCTCATTCACTTCATTAAATAACTTAGGCCAAACCCTAATTTTTTTTAATCTTTTTTCTTTAACCGAGTTTTCATCAATTCATAGAATTCTATCTCAAAATCAGTGGCGAATAATCGTATCTATTATAAATCTTTGTAAGGTCTTTTTTCTTTTCAATAAAGTTTAACGTTTAATGTTTTGGTGAAAACTCAGATTTAGTCCTACTATATTTAATTTTTTGTATGGTGCAATGGTGGGTTAATCCGACTTTTCATAACAAAAATTATTAAAGTGAGAGTGAAAAGGGAGTATCTTTTTTTTTTTTTCAACTAGATGATAATTAAGAGGAGTTTAGCAGCCGTATTGTCCTAACTTTTAATTAATTAAGCAGCCCCAACAATTTATTAGGGCTAATTGTAGCTCCTTTGAGTTTGGTATCCCAAGCCATTAAACTTCTTTTAAAGCTTAAATTCGAGGGCTGGTTTGATAATTGTTTTTTGAAGACAAGACTTTTGGGGGAAAAAAATCCCTTGCAAAAGATTAGGGAAAAAAAAGGCCATTCTTTTGGATTTTAGAATTTTACCGCAGCATTGTTGCGGTTTTTTTCGAAACTTTCCTTTATTTTGTTGTCACGAGCGTGATATAAAAGAAAAAATTTGGCGATCCTTCATTCAAAATGTGGTGTGCAACGAGGGCTTCGTTTGTACGACAAACAAAGAGATATTGAGAGTGCGAGACCATCCATTGTTGTACAGAATTTAATTTAAGAGATCTTTGTAGAGTGATTCACGAACGGTGGGAGAAATTATTCTCAGAGGGTTGTAAACTCTTGTACTACTATTAAAAAAAAACATATTAGAAAGAACACAACCTCTCATTGCTTATTTTCTTAAAATAGAGAATTAAAAACAAAATCGAAATGAAAGCTCTTAGTTTAAAAGTTGGGTATAGAATCTAAGATAGAAAAAAATGGTTAACAAACAAGGTAATTTTTTAAAAAATAAATTGAAAAACTAAAAATAATTATGGAAAGAATTAACCCGAAATCTAATCCAAAATTTAAAGTTGTGGTTGATATTTAACGAGTGATTACCATTATTAATTACTGAGAAAATGACATTAGAGAAGTTGGAGTCGAAGACGTTTTGAGAGATGCCATGTTAATTAAGTAAATTAAAGTAAAATGATAATGCAAATCAAATTCTTTAATCTAAGAGCTCTTTATAAGTTTAATTAATTAATGCTTGTTAAAGGTTTGAACCTAGCTTCTTTTATTGGATGGGGGATTAAATTTTATAATTAGCTGTTGCATCACTGTCATTATTTATGGTGTTTGGACTTCACATTATAAAAATAAAATTAAAAATTGAAGAAAGAAATTAAAATAAAATAATGAAAAAGAGTTAACATCATCAAACTCCAATTAAAAATTAGTGTTTAACGAAATCCCATGAGAAAAAGAAACCTTGGGATCCGATCTTGAAATGGTCAACTCCAAGACCTCATAACTCTACACCCATGTTTCTCAATTTTTATTTTTTTTTCTCTAAATATTATATATATATTATATATTTTTTTCTGAACAATATTTTAAAAATAGGATAGTTTTTGGACTCCATTTGATGACCTAATTTGGGTTCGATAACCTTTTTTTTATTTAAAAAAAAATAAATTTATCGAAAGAACATATGCTTGAGCATTATTTATTTAGAGTCTATTTGATAACCATTTTATTTTTTATTTTATGTTTTTGTATAATTAAGCCTATAACACTATACTTTCATTTATGTATTTTTTTGTTTTGCATTATATTTTTGAATTTTTTTCCAAAAATTTGTTTTTTTTTTTTTGAAATTTGACTAAGAATTATGTTTCTAAAAAATG